GAATCTTCTGACTGACCATCTTGCTGGTTTAGGGGAAGTTAACGATGCTGACGTCTGGAGGCGTCTGTGAGTGATATTTCACCTATATAATAGGCATCTGTGCTGCCTTCATCGGGCACACGGAAAAAAAAGAGAGAGAGAGAGAGCATGAGTTAGAGTGAGAGTGAGTGAGAGTGAGCGAAGTAGTCACAGCAAGAGCCTTAGACAAGAACCTTGAAAGCCTGGTCTTAGGAGACTTGGACCCATCTCCGTATCTCCTTAGGGATCTGTTGCGATCAATGCTGAAATTACTGGGCGAGGCCAACAATCTCAAGAGTCAAAAGTAGGACCTACATGAACAAGTGTCCTGTCTAGCCGGACACTGCGCAGACTCACCTTTTCAACATTCTTCCTGGCCTGGAGAGTCAGCGGTGTAGCCAGCATACCCCCCAGCCTGGTAGAGACAGCAGGCGGGGAGCAATCTCTTGAAAAACACATGAAGGGCGCCTGTCTCGTCTTGACTCAGACTCATGTGGGCTCTGTCAAACTATCATGGATTAAGACATTCTGTCCAGCGAATGTGTTCCTATCGCGGACCAAAGTACTGTAGATGGCGCAATGCTGCAATGCCCATGCATTAGTTGGGGAGTGCCGATTGGAGTACAGTAGCTTTTTGAGTTTAAGCTGCGCAAACTTGAAGGATTGGCTGAGTAAGGTTCCTACCATATTATGGATATCATTGGAATATTGGATATCCCAAAAGCCCAATGGTGGAGCCAACATATTTAGAAGAAAAGGCCAGCACCCTTCCGGAGAACATAGCACCTCATTCTCAAAGACTGTCGCTAGGACGGTGAAATCTTCCCGGGGCCCCAGAAGAATTCGATCCAAAAACGAACCACCTCCACCTCATCCATCCAGCCGTGGTGTTCACTGCAGGCCGTGGACAAGGCCGTTCCCCGGCGCCTCGGAGGCCCCCACCATGGGCACGGCGGAGGCGGAGGGGAGCCGCCGGTGCACCTGGAGCCGCCGCATCGACCAGTCTACCCAGCGACCGGGGCGATCGGCGATCGGGTCAGACTCATACAGTAAATCCCTTGGAACCTCCGCCAGCGGACAGTTGGGGGGCATGAAAATGCATCTTTGGGAGTATATCCCCCTGAAACAGTTGTGAAAGTTGGCCGACGGTAGCCGAGGTTCTTCACATCCAGCTCAAAACCAAACCTAATAGCATCCTTGCTCCTAGTAGCGATGCCAGGAGCCCCTAGTAGCTTCTTGTTCCTAGTAGTACGGCCAGGAGCCCCTAATAACATCCTTGCTCCTAATAGAGTTGCCAGGGATCCCGAAGACTCTCGTGGACTGCCGGTGGCTGCGTGTGGCCGGGCGGCGCCCGATTCGCGCCTTGTTTTCCACGCGGTCCAGGGGCCCACCTTCATCATCCATGCTCTGCAAAAGTTGCCCAAACTTGTCATCCTCGACAAGGGCCCAGCACAAGGGGCTAACCACACAAGCCATTCGTGGTTTGACTATGTGACAGACTTACATGTCAACTTTGGATGTTCTAGCTCCAATGGCAAATAAGCTCTCACACAGACCTTGTACTTGACTAAACTGACAATGACTTGATGTAAGGACTCATGGCCTGACACAGCCTCATGATTTGAGTGACGGGGTCAATTCACTTCGTTGAAACCGGACTCACCTCTATGAACTCCCAGGGGCCCATCCTGTGACCTACGCAAGCATGCTCCAACCCAAGTCAACACGGCACCCATCAGCTCGTCTCCCTTCGCTTCCGAATCGGATGTCCTCGTAGACGTCCTCATCTTCAGGTAGGCTTTGGATTCCAGGCGTCCTCCGACGCTCCGCTCCCGGCAGTGGCGCGTCGCGTGCGCCGACCGTCGCTCCCAACAGGATCGTTGATTTCGATGAGAAGAACGGACGGCGGAAAGCTCGTCACTGCTGGAGAAACCAACTGTCAAATCAGCCGTGTCTGTACAGCGTTTGATGCTTTTGTGGCAGTCTCCACGGTGTTGACCAGTGTTGTTTCCAGATCCGGAGTTCTTCCATCAACGGGAGGGATCCATCAGTGCGCCTTGTCGGGCTGCAGGTGACTGTGCTCCACCCTTTCCAACTGTCCTAGGTCCTCAGACTGACTTCGACTCCCTCAGTTCCTGGAAAATATTGGAAAACATTTGGAAAATGGAGGCTCCACTGTGCTCCTGCCCGCTTCATGATGCTTCGCAAGATCCTCCAACGACGGATTCATCCAAGGGCGGGTTGAGAACGGTTCTGGAGGCGGCTTAGGGTGCATCATGTGCAGGATACAACGTAAAGAAACCCGACGAAACGAAGCAGTTCCTGGATCCCGAAGTGGTCGGAAGATGAGATGTTCTTTGAAGAGACGTGACTTCTGAAGACTCGACTCAGATTTCGGCTTGAAAGCACTTCGAAGGTCGGAGTCCTGTAGCCCATCTCCAGATACCTCCTCGCCTCAATCGAGCCCATGGGTCGGGTTGCAAAGCCTGTTGTTGCATGCGGGGGTCAAGTCAAGACGGTGTTGGTCACTAGCTCAATTGATGTTGTGCATGTCAAAAGTCACACTCTCCCTCCCTCCCTCCCTCCCTCACTCGCTCTCATTGACCTCTTTCCCTCTTATCATGCTGGCAGATGTGAACTTGCAATAGAAATCTGAACCCGACCAAAAGGCGCTCATCAGATGTCTCCCTTCAACCAAAGCCTGCTGTCTGCGGCGCTTTCGAAGATGAGCTTGCCCTGGCATTGCATCATCAAGTGGGGAACAAAGTTAGGCTTGCGCGAGAAAATAGAAAAAGAACAGAGCGCTGTCGCACGGGCTGGGGGGACACACAAACGAAGGAGTGAGACAAAGCACATCAAGAATACGTACTGTGATAAAATTATCGGCTATAGACTATAAATAGATAGATCAGTTTATTGCTTGATGAAAGAAGCAAGCACGTGATATGTCTTGTTTGCAGTGTTTGACAAACAGAACTGTTGATCCGCTTTAGTGACTTTGAAACTAACATGCCGTGTTGCATTTTGGACCTCATTGTTTCGATCTTTTGCATCAGGATGAATGGTGGTTTCCCGACTTGTTTCAGCTTGCCTGGCAGGCGATTGGCTTTAGTTGGAAATTTGTCTGGTGCTTTCTGCAAGTTCTATTGGCCTCTAGGAAAAGATAAGCTCTGACCGGCCGTATATGCTGGAAGCAGAATGCACACTGTCAGTTCTCATGCATTCAACACATGCACTTTGTTGGTACATCCACTCCATTGAGAAAACAGTTAGTGGCACCACATCATGCGACCAGCCATGAGCCGCATGCGTGAACAACGTCTTCTTCATCGCGTTCAGCTCCAAGTATGGACACATGCCAACTTGGGGAAATGAAATGCAGAAGGTCAAATACCTGCTTGAAGCAACAGTCACTGGCTTGGGATTCTTGTGGAAAAGCTTGCAATCATTCCTTCACAAGACAGACATCATATCTGTTTTGACAGAAGTTGGATGTGCGGCCTTCAACAACAAAACAAATGTGAAATACGCGGGATTCAAAGCTTGGCAGTGCTTCCACCCAAAAAGATGGCCCCACACGCTCAAAGCCGTCATGGCGGAGTGTTCTTTGTGGTTCCAAGGGGCACCTGTCTCGACATTCTATCAACCCACCTTTGCACCCACCATTGCCCCCCTCTACTCTATCTTGCCCAATGGTCTTACATTTAAGAGTCCCTTAGCTATTCTCTTCAAAGACGGGCCATCTCTGGCTACCCTTCCCTCCTTGGTGCACGGAGTAGCGCATCAGTGACCCCTGGCTCTCCTTCGGTCGTGAGAGGGTCGTGGGAGCAAATCCCAACTGAAAGAAGAGTCCTCCATCTGGTGAGTTATATGGGTGGGTCATGGCACCGGGGTACCTGGATCGACCAGTTGACCAATGAAGAAAATGGACGACCTGCAGGACTTCAATCGGGCTACCTGGTTTGGGGATCCGGGTTGAATTCAATCAGTGACTCTATGGCAAAATACAGTTTCACCTTTCAGCTGCCTTAAGGGCACGTGCGAACCTCAGACGCATTTCATGCAGGTGACATATCAGAAAAACTATTGCTTTACGGGGTGTCCTTAATCTATTTGCTGTGACCTGCAGGTAGGACTTCTTTCACCTGCACATAGAGTGTGTCCTCTAAAAAATTATCTGGCAAAAGGACTGATAAGGAATAGCAAGAGAACATACTAAAGAGAATTGCCCTGCCATGCTGGTCCATTGGGCGGTGATGAGACGTATCAAATCAACAGTAGTCACATGGTTCATCATATTCAGATTTGATCAAACCAACTACGCCGAACATAAAGAATAAACACTGCAAAACGCAGTTATAAGAGTAGCCACGGGTTATTCTTCGTGGTTGTAGGCGGATCCTTACTGAGTGAACCGGGTTGTTGCCCTACAGAACGACCCACCGATTGCGCAACTTTCCGTGTTTAAGCATTCTTGTTTCTGGAGTGGTAGAGGTGAAACCCCAGACCGTCTGACCAAGCAAACTGGAGGAGCGTTGATTGCTTGATTCCCGTTTCTTGGGCCCGTCTCTCTAAAACGCTTTCTCGGGTCTCCTGCGTCAACGTCTGACACATCGCGCAACGCATCCATCCTTGATTCAAGGGACTGGACATACAATGTGCTCGGAAAGCCGGTCGACAAATATCTAGAATATCTATACAGAGTATTACAGAATAGTCTAGAGCCTGAGAAGGGGGGACGAAAGCCAGCTGCTGCTAGACGAGTTTTTCTTTTTCTTGCTAGGGCGCAGGAGCCCTATGCGGATATGTAGTCAACCTTGCATCCCCACCGAAACTCAATCCAAATTCGTCGACTTGAACTCGTGCTACTTTAGGGAACTCGTATCCTACGTGCGGCTGCGGTCTGCTCTGTACGTGGGCCCCTGTCTCCATTCGAGTCCTCTATGCCCATTGCCTAAACAGCCTCCAAAGCCCTTCATGATGCTAATGATGCGCTGCTCAGTGTCCATTACATCACTCGCATCCAGACCCTATTTTCACTGCTTTTCGGGGCGGAGGTGGGCGGCGGGCGGACTAAGTCGCTGACATCAAATCCAGGGAGCCTCGCCTGACAGGTCGGGAAAAAGGCTCTGGTTGGGTCGTGAAAAGGGTTGTCAGCCTGTTCAATCTCTCCCAACTCCTTGGTATCACGTTCTTCATAGGTCTTCAACGAATGTTAGCTTCTCGATCTTTGCCCCATCTTGACTTAACAAGCCAGGCACGGAGGTGCAGCTTCTGCCTGGAAAGGATGGAGCCGAGGATGGGGTCTTGACCTTCAGAGACGAAAATGGAAGTGGTTTTTCCTGGCCCCTGAAAAGATGGTAGTAGTCTCCAGTTCCAGTCGAGAGAGTGTGAAATTGGACCAGTGGTTAGTTCTACCATGTTCTACCGAGTTCTATCTGACAATCGTCAATTTTTGACTACTCTCACTCTTGCTTTGACTTCTTTCCCAAAGCTGCCAACCGGAGCAAAGCCTATTCTCGGCTTCTAGTTGCTGTTCTGAGATTCTACGCAAATCAAAAGGCTGGCTCCAAGGGCAGCAGGCCAGTTTCAACCACAAAGTCTACAGTAAGATATTTATATCCAAGCAGGTCCTGCGCCCACCACCCAGAAACACACCGCCTTGACCGTGCGAGATGAAGGCCTCCAGTATGTCGGTGACAAAGCTGTGAGAGATGCATTGCTTTCGGTGTGTCCCGAAATCTCGTCTCACGTTTAGCCACGTCAGCCTACACATAAGTGATGGACAAAATCGGCGACCCTTCGGGACCTCTTGGGGACGGGGGAGAGGTCCGCCTCCGGACGTTCCCCTTCACGTTAGCTCCTGGGGCACTGGCCTGTGCACCGCAACGGCTTGGAGAGCCGATACCTGAAAAAATGAAAAAAGTTTGTTCTTTGCGTTTGCACTGGTGGCAAATGGCGCCTAATTACCACCAGTCGGGCAGATCGACCTCTTCTTTGTGCACCAGTTGTGTTCCAATATGTCCCTGGTGTCTTCTGCTGTTGAGCGCACAATGCTGCAAGTTCTACAGTACCAGTAGCACTGTTGCTACTTTAGCGACAAGTCAAGCGAGCGTTAAATCACTGCATACCCAGTTGGATGGACACATGCGTGCACCTGGTGCTCCTTTTGTTCCAGTCTCTTAACCAGAACTATATATACAGTAACTATAACCACACATACATCATCATATATCACTCCTCCAAATATATTCATGCTGGCGTCTCTTATTCGAGCTCAGCGGAATTGGAAAAAATGTATATATCCCTGTCCTTGATATGTGTGCTTATCCACGAAACCCTTTCCACGCGCTCTGGGTTGCCACGCCCATCGTTTGGGTGCCTTTGACCTAAATGGGATGTGGTGGTGCAACTCTGTGCATTTAGTATATTTAGTGCGGAAAACTGATTTGCAAATACTCATCCACATTTATATAAAAAGAGCGATTGAAAGATTTGATCCCCAATGTGATTTGCAACGTCCCCGTTCGAGACTCCAGGCGGATGTCCAAAGCTGGGGAACGTCCCAAAGAGCTCATCCATGGGATAGAGCTCTCGCATTGGATCCGGCCCCACCTGCGAATTTGCTCCATGCAATCTGACTTCTCCGACGCTGCTTTCGTTCTCTGCTTACCCAACCTCGTAGCAAATACACGGGCATGGGAGACCATGGCCTTCCCTCCGTCGACTCTCCTGTCAACTTGATTTGCTCTTTTTTCCCATCAGGACCCATGGACAACTCACACAGATCATTCCAGTGCTCGTTGCGTCCTTCTGGTTGGAGATCAAAAGCAAGCGGCTGAGCTCTGTTGGCATGGATGAGAGCGTTTTGTAGTCCCCCTGGCCAGCTGGAGGGCAAGACGATCAGTATGTTGCTTGATCTTCAGAGGACATGTCGCAAATCCATGACATGAGACTACTCCCAGCATCATTCTGCTCTGACCACACTGGTACGTGCATGCAAACAAAACACGCATTTCATCTGACAAGTTCGGCATGCACTTCAGGGCAGGTTCGGCACCTGTTCAAAGACAGTGCCGTTGCGCAGAACAATGATGCTGTCGAGCCTCGTGAGGCCCCGAGCTCCCGAGCCGCACTCCGCACATGGGCTAATACCACTGGCCTATACCCATTAGCGTCACGTCTGAAGGCCGACAGTATGAGGGGCAAATGGTGTCGCGTTTTCCTGCAAGCCCCCCTAGGCCACCCAAGCGGGGAGAGCAAGGACAAGTTCTGAGTGGCCAAGATCATGGTGCGATCCTTGTACTTCTTCACCTTAGATGGTTGCACTTAGCATTAGCCCTGAGGATGCAAATTTCCCAGCCTCCTTGCAGCAAAGGCACCCCAAGAAATTGAACAAAGCTTCGCACCCCGATTATCGATTCAATGCCACAGTGGAAGAGGTCACAGGCCACTTTACAGTTTTGTATTCCGAGGCTATCGTAGCAGAAGGGAACAACAAATGACAAAAGTTGATGTGCTGAAACATGTCAAATGCAAGAGACAGCGTGACTTGGAAAAAGAAATCCAACAGAATCCTGGGGTTCTCGCTAGACTGGAAACAGCACGTTTCCCTCGGTCATGGTCCATCTCGACAAAGGGATCATCCAAAAGGAGTATCTGCGCCTTCGCAAAGGGGCACGATTGGAATCGCCTTTGCTCCAACGCTTCTTTCAACGACCAGCGCGACGACTCGCGTGACGAGTCGTGTGACGAGTCGCGTGACGAGAGCGGCGTGACTCGTCCTACGCGACTCGGCCAAATGGCACCGATTCCCTCGGCCTCAGCAAATAAGGCTCTTGCCACCTGCATGGCTGCCAGACCCGGGCCTCGTGGTTTTCGCCGCTGGCACGTTGGCTGCAAAAATGTGCGAGTCGTGAAGTGTTTTTATAAGTGTATAAGTACTTGTATCGTCCGGCACGTCGATCAAGCTTTAGAGAGGCTTCTGATATTTGAACACGTATTTTTTCCTTGCTCCGCAAACATGGCAAGATCTGTAAATTATTGCTGCCTTGACAGTCTTGTCATGGGCCATGAAATAGTACAGCGATTCCTTGAGGGGGAGTTCTGGTGTTATGCTCTAAAGATATTGAGATTGATTTACACTATTACCCATTGCTTGTTGAGGCGCAACACGTTTGAATGTGCCAAGATGTTCCAAAAATGGTAACACAGGAACTGTACGACGTATCAACTTGCGTCCCACTCAAGGTGCACATCGCATTACGAGCTCGCATCCAGTTAGAACCAAAAGCACGCAAAAGGGAAGCTCACTGAAAAATGCCTGGAAAAGCAGCTTGCAATGGTATCAAGGCTGACTTGGGACAGGCTTCGGAAAACTTCCGCATGGTGCAGCTTTGCTGTTGGTGACCCACTGTGACACTCTTCTCACCAGTGATGCGAGCTTAATGATCTTGTAACCGCTTCACACCCCTTCCCAACAAAATGGTGTCCTATCAAGTTCTTTCTTCCTGCATCTAACTTGTTCGGCAACTATGGGCAAAATGGCAAGCAAATACACTTGTCACATATCAGAATGAGAGAGCTCTGTGGTTGCCTCCATTGGCCTCCACGTCATTGTCTCCCAAACTCTACATGTCCTCCACTTAGATAGGCGCCGTTCAGTCTGGCCGTGATGCTTTTCACCCGAACACGGCGTACTCTATGTCCTCCACGTCACAATATCACAGCAAAGGTCGACCTCAGGGCACTGCCTGCGAGTTCCTCCACGAGAGCACTGTCGCCGTTGGAGAGACGCTGCAAATCCTCCGTTCGAGGCTTGGCTAAAGTTGGGAAAGTCTACTACGCAAAGAAATTTAGGTAGTATTCATGCAGTCTTACGCAGTGTTACAAAGAAATCAAAGAAATTCACGTCCATATTATATAATCTACGCTGTCACTGCAAGCTGCAGGAAATTGAGCCTGATCATCACATACTGGCCATCACCAAGCAAACTGCCCCCTCCAATGCAGCTGTCAACTAGACAAATTGGCAGTGCTTCCATGACCAAGTCTGGGTGCCCTTGCAGAACTGAATGCGAGTCTTTCACTAGACTCGAGAAAAGTCGGCCAAACCATCACGTTTCAGGTTGTGCAATCCTCTGCTAGGGTGGACGTTGTCAAGGCTTGCTCGTACCTGCGGGGGCGTTGTCAACGTTGCGTGTCGTCATGCCATCATATGAGTTGAGGACAGACTCAGGTCCAGGTGTCCAAAAGATACCTGCTACACTGTGGGGGGGGAGTCTCAGACCCGTGACTTCTGTCTGTTTCGGGTGACGGAAGCTGTCGGCGCAAATCTCAGTTAGAATGCAAAGTGACCGACTAACTACAACCTTTGCTTCCAACCATCCCAAAACGCGTGATACAGAATGAGAGCTGTTGAGATAATCCTCTCCTTGAAAGACTTTGCATTATATATAAGGTTCAGCAATCCCTTGCTACAAGCTGAGGTCAGTAGATGATTCAGAGACTGGCTGTGGGTCATGGAAAACAGACTGGTTCTCTAGTTGAATTCCCACAGTTGAAATCCCGTGTTCCGTCAACTGCCGTTACGTCCCACCAGCAGATCACTACACTACAGCAGCCTTATTTTTGCGGTTGCAGGGCCTCTGGGCATCGAAGGAGCGGCCACACAGGACGTTCTCCCGGATGCTGCAGTCGGCCAGCTTCACACAGGGCCGCTGTGGAGCGTAGGCCAATCTGCGGAGAAGTATGAAGACTTGGAATGAACTGTGCACTTCCGTTTGTTTGAATTGTGACTGCAAAGGATCTACAGCCAAGATCAGCGAAGTAGGAAGAGTCCACGACCATGCTACTCTGACAGATGAGGATTTGCGTGACTTTCTAAAGTGGGTCTATTTCTCCGGTCATCCGGCCCAAAGGCGAAAACACGGAGAGATTATCTTTTGCATTTTTGGAACCACCCTCGAAGCATGAAGCATGAAGAACCATGCGTCCCGCTACCAGGCTACCAAATGTTGGACAGGTCCGGGTTCTTTGCTTTTCTCCCAACAGTGTGGACGACGACGACGACGACCACCACCACGACCACGACCACGACCACGACCACGACCACGACCACGACCACCACCACCACCACCACGACTACTACTACGACTACTACTACGACTACGACTACGACTACGACTACGACTACGACTACTACTACTACTACTACTACTACCAGTACCAGTACCAGTACCAGTACCAGTACCAGTACTACCACTACCACCACGATTACTACTACTCCTCCTCCTCCTCCTGCTGCTGCTGCTGCTACGACTACCACTACCAATACCACTACCACTATCACTACTGCTACTACTGCTACTACTGCTACTACTACTACTACTACTACTACTACTACTACGACTACGAGAACCACCACCACCACCACCATCACCACCACGACTACGACTACTTGTTGTAGTAGTAGTAGTACTACTGCTCCTCCTCCTCCTCCTCCTCGTTCTCCTCCTCGTTCTCCTCCTCATTCTCCTCCTGCTGCTGCTGCTGGTCCTGCTCCTGCTCCTGCTCCTGCTACTGATACTGCTACTACTTCTACTACCACCACCACCACTACTACTACTCCTGCTACTACTATTGCTGCTGCTGCTGCTGCTGCTCCTACTACTACTACCATCACCGCCACCACCGCCACCATGACAACGACAACGACTGACACTGCCACTGCCACTACGACTACCACTACGACTGGACAACCAAGTCATCTTCTTACTCATCATCGTGATCTTCTGAACACTGTTTGGGGTCTCTTGCCGGGATAATCTTTGGGCCTTCAGCTTCTACCCACCGATCCGCCTTCCGGAGAGTGACACGCCACCCTCCCGGTCGTCACCCCAGTGCTCACATTGGCAGCCTTGACAGGCGATCGGATTAGCCCATCATGACATATCGAAGCAATGCACTTCTTCGGGTTGCACCATCTTGACATATCTAAAGTCCACTTCTTTGGGTTGCCACATGGAACATCTGCATGCAATGGGTGTTGGACATGCTCGGAGTGTGCCCGAATGGAGATTCACTGTCGGAGACTTGTGATTCTGCTGTAGGGTGTGTGGAAAGGGAGCTTCAACATTTGGAAACTCTTTGATGTGGTCTAACTTCAAGTCGCTGGAACATTTGTTTTCTGAATCAGAGTTATACCAGCTGCTTTGACCCTGGCAGTGGGGTGTTCCTCATCTTCAAAATTTGCTGGAGCCTCCAACCAAGCCAGCTAAAAGGGTGGACCTGAGGACAATGAAATTCTCACTTTGGAACAACTGGACATCCATTCAAAACATCCATTGAAAAGTGTGTCAAGGTTGCAATGTCAACATCCTCAAAATAAGCTCTTTTGCTTGAAAAAAGCACAGTTGTCGAGCACTCTCACTTCACTCAAAATGTTTCAAGCTTCCAGCTTGCCACTACCAGTAGCTCCAACAAGTGCTACATGGGAACCTGGCGTCTTCTGCTTGGTGAAATCGCAAACTCGATTCTGTGCTTCTTCAAATGACACCCAATCCAATCATCAATTTGCATGTTGGAAAAGAATGGACTCTTCAATATACTTGGACACCATTCCACCATGCAGTCAGCACAGAATCTGCGATATGTGTATATCATATGTTTAAAGCACCGATAATTTACAGTCCATATAGTTGTGTCTCGGCGTATCGCAAGGGCTTTTGAACATCAAACCTCCGGACAACTGTTGCTTCTATGTCTTCTTGAGACAGCCGGTAACTTGTACAACCAGGATCAACCAGGGTCCAAAGCTCGACCGCATTCTACGAACCATTCCGCTTGGCCCCTTTGTAGGGCAGAACTCTTCCTCCGCAGGGCCAAGGCGGCACGGTCCGTGGCCCATCGCTCGAAACGCCCCTCACCTCGCTTCACCTGCAGCGAGAGCACCTGGACACCGCGGCACGGCGGCAGAGCCAGTTCTGCGTCTTGGGGAGGTTCCAAAGTGAGAGAAGCCATCCTGATGTGGCTCCTTGTTCATCACAACTTGGTCCAAAAACAAAACACCTATTTGACTTGTTGTGGGATCAGAAGCGACTTTAGACTGTGTGTGCAGGAAAAAATACACTGAGTGAGCATGTGTGCACTAAAAAACACGATGCCAGCATACAAGAGGTCCTCCTTCGAGACCCTCTAAAGGAGACAGTTGACCAGTCAGCAGCACTAAGTGGGGGGTGCAGAAAGCTGTGCCAAACACCGTCTCGAGGTTTGGTGTTACACTTTGGCAAAATCTAGATTGGACGCAGTCACACACTCTCATAGTCTGAACAAACACTCAAGCAGTGCTTGCCACAAGGTAACCCATGACTGTCGCAGATCGAATCGACCTCCCCTCGGTCCAGCCTTCAAATCGAATCGATTTGAGGTATTCCTGGACCGATCTGGACCGAAGTCTGGTGCGGCGATAGCAAGTCTGCGTGATCAAAACCCCTTACAGACTCCTACAAACACGGCAAAGTACCTTGTGACACATCACTGGGCCAGCAATCAGCATTTAATCTGCTATGGAATGCCTCTGAACACTTCTCACCGCTCCCTGACTGATCACTCCATCCGTCCACCGTCTGGGACTGCTGCGTGCTCCGCCGCGCGCGCTCCGCCACGGAGGCATCGTCCGAGACGGAGTCGACCAGGTCCAGGCCAGAGGACACGCCCTCGAACGGAGACCGGGAGAAAACCAGCGGGGCGTTCGTCTCTATTCGTAGCTATGGAAGAGAGGAGAAGGAAGGCGAAGATGGCGAAGACGCCGTGGAGCAATGTGAGGTTTCAATCCAACATCACGGTCATGAGTCATGAATAAAGTGAGGTTACAGCTGCCGCCCGGGACCCAAGAAGAGCCTCCTGGCCGCTAGTAGTTACCACGACTCTGAGGAAACAAAGTCAAATCGAGCCAAATCCATCTCATGTCCTGCCCAACCCTTCAGAGAGCAGGCTGATTGCATGTCCTGCCCACGGGTCACGGAAACCCTTCTCAGCTTTCCGCCTGCCTTCTCGGCTTTCTGCATCACGGTTTGCAGGGCAGTATTGCCTCGGTAGGACCAGCACACAAAGGTTTTTCTACAGTATAATCTGCCATGAGATGCCTGTATTACTCGTGTTCTACACCATTTTGTGGCTAAAACAAATCCCTGTAGGTTTGACCATGTTTGGTGAAAATGCAGCTGGGATATACCTGTGGTTATTAGCTAATTCATTCATTTTGGTGGCAGCTGCAGGGTTTTGTAAGGGGTAGCTCGGTGTTGTAAGGGTGCGATGTTCGTATTTTTACAGGGTTTGCAGAGCGCGATGAGGGTCCGGGTGAGTATTGCTGGCATCCGATAACATATGATGTTCTATTTTTGGGTATGAACTGCATCAATACTGTTGGTTCCTTGAAGTGTTGCTACTATTAACACGTTTTGCCAGACATTCATCGATGACGGCCGAAAAGCTGTGAAACCGAGCCGCATCAAAAACCAGGAAATGCCAAAAGGAAACAACTCCACTTCAACCACATCACATCCACATTGCCTGTGGCGTCCAAAAATTGGCCAAGTTTGCCTATCAAATTGTTCATCACTGTCCGAGTTTGCCACCGTTGGGCTTTGGCGGCAAGGCCTCAAGCTGGGCATTTTTCTGAGGATCGTTCCGTCACAAAATCGAAGAGTCTTGCTCTGGTGAGGCTCAAAGAAGACACGGGAAAGAGCAAAGTTGAGCCAAGCTTAAGGAGACCAATTCCAGCTAAATGCCTCGGTCGCCTGGTTTTAAGTCAGAAAGCGGCGGATAGTATGACACCGCATGAACCGATGGTGTGAAAGTCTGACCTGTGTAGCATTTGTGTCAAGGTGGCTACAGGGTGGTGTTAGGACATATACTGGTAGTGCCCTTTGACACAAGGAAAAGAATCGGGAGCCCGTCCGCAACAAAATTCATTATTTCTTGAGAGAAAGGAGGAATGCTCCAATGAAAAGGGTGAATTGTGAAAGAAAACCGAAGAACGGAGAGGTGCCATCAAAACAAGAAGAATGCAGTGATAAATCAAGAACTGTGAAAATATGTAAAATCATAGTTGTTCCCATGACCTAGATTAGAATGCATTTTATAATGGCATATGTGTATGTACATAATATATATATATATACATGTAGCATGCTGATACATATACATATTGTAAATAGCGGCACCCGAAAACCTACGAAAGATCGAAGGAAGCGGAATGCGCACACTATTTGCTACCGTTGGAGCCAAATGCTCAAGGCCTGTCCGGCCGCAGTGAAACACATCCAAAGGCCAAACATGCTCATTCACATGCCTTCTATTTTATGTGGCCTTTGGATCCGCACAAGTGAAAAAGGATACCAGTCTGTGGCATCGATCTTCCATCTTCGCCTGGAGGTTTGCCATCTTCTTCAGGTCGGCTTTCTCCTCAAGGATCCTCCACTCGTGCTGGCCATCACTCCTCTTGTAGCAGGCAACCGAAGTGCGGTACTGATGCTTGTTCACATCAAACCGGGGAGCTGGGCTTCGGTAACTCATCGCTCCATGGGCCACGTGGATGGGAGTTCCATCTTTGTAGCGCCACCCATTCTGCTCTGCCACCATGAGGACGTGCTCCATCAAGGACTTGTCTCTGTCCTGAACTGCCCGTCCGGGCATCTCCACAACAGCCACCGCTGTCTTCACAGCCTTCTTGGTCTGTTTGGTGAAACTCTCGTTGTACTCGATTGACCACTCTCCCTTCTGCAAAGTCTCTCGCAGCGCTGAGTTGTCCATCAGCTTCGTGCCAGCATCCACAAAGAGGTTTGCGGTGCTTGTCCACCTGTAGCCAGTACATGGCCGTCGAAGTTGTTGACGAAGAGCTGCAAGGCTAAAAGCAAGGCTTTTCTGCGAGCCAAACCCAGTGTCTTGTGTAAGACGATCATAGGTATCTTTTGCATCGGTGACTCCGATGAGGCTCACAGCGCAGACATTGAGATGTCCTGATCGACATGTGATGTCGATTTTGCGCAGCTCTGCTATGAAGCCGCGACACAGTTCTCCTGCGTCTAGACCTTCTTCAGCGCCAAGCGTTTCTGCCGCGTAGGAACTGCGACACACTCTCTGAAGTCGGTGACTCCTGAAGTCGAGCAAGTTGAAGCTGCCAGGCTTTCCCAACATCATCTGCTCGTCTGCCAGCAACACTGCGTAGCAGGACTGGGAGTGCACCTTCTCGGTCGGCATGGCGTCCGTGCAACCATTGGCGGTCACATTGCCGAGTGCAGCATCGGTCACAACCATGATGCCACCATGGGTGTAGCTGACCGGCTTGAACTGCAAGGTGAAGTCCTTGGTCCTCTTTGCCTCCTCGACCACCTTGTTCACCCGAAGCACTGTGCCAACAGTCGGTCGCTCTGACTGAAGACTGCTTACCGAGAAAGAGAGGTCGAATCTCAGCTGCGCCACAAGCCACTGGAAGGCACCCAAAACACCTTTGAGCTTCCTCACTTCTGCGGCATTCAGCAAGCTTGCCACATCTTTGCGCCTTTGTCGAGGCATCTGCATTCCAGTGAGGTTCTCGTGGTACCTTACCATGGTCAAAGTGACTCTTCCATCAGGTTCACGAGTGAAGGTTTTGCCACACCAGCTGAATGGCGGAGCATCCATGGATCCAAAACCGATCCTTTCTCCCAACCGGCTCAGCGAAGCTTCTGCCTCCTTGTCGCCACTCATGAGCAAGTCGTCGACATGCGCTGCCAAGATGCCTGTCAAAGCACCTGTAGTGTCGAACCTCAGCCACAATGCCAAGTCCAAGCTCGAGCGAACCCAGCCATCCTCACCAAGCTCTCGAGCCAGCCGCAAGTACCACTCTCTTGGGGCATCAGCTAGGCCAAAAATGCCTTTGAGAACTTTGGCAACGCAACCAGTCGGAATCCCAATCGTCGGACCTGTCTTGGGGTTGGTCCCACGGATGTACAGCTGTCTCTGCGCGTAGGGATCTCCTTTGAGGAAAGCTGCTCTGACATCAGCGCTCAACAAACACCAGTCAGGGTTCGAGGCACAAACACAACACACCACATGCTGTGCTATTCTTGAAGCTGTTGGTGAGTCAGTTCGAAGTTCACCATTCATCCTGGCACGATGATTCGTGCATTGGCCTTCAAAGGAAGCGGGCACTCTGGAGAGCGAAGCTTGGAGTTCTTGTCCACCAAGATGAAGCGGGGGTTCATGATCCGCTCAAGCTCACCTTTCATCTCCAGCTCCTGTTCCACTGCTCTGGATTCCTCAGGGTTCAAGACAGTCACAGCCTCATTCTCCAGCCACTTGTTCCACTGGTCAGCCGCTGCAACGCGGAAGGCCTGTCTTGTGTCTTCGTCCATCTCTGACCATTTGAGTTCACGTCCGTGAGCAGCAGTAGTCAAAGCTTCCTTAGTGTCACTGTTGGAACCACTAGGCCATGTCATCTGAAGCTTCTTGACGATCTCAACCTGTCGTGCGGTCGGGCGAGACCATCTTCCATCCCAGCTGCCGTGATCATCTTCTCCATGATGGCCGTTTTCTATGTCCTCCTGGGCTTTGTTGACTGCCTCAAGAAGTGGATGTCTCCGCTCAGCTGAGAGGACATCGATCGCTTTGCCACCAAGTCGAAGCGGCTCCATGATCCTCCTCCGAACGGCCTGTCTGTCGTCCGTTGGCTCGGACAGTGCTCTTCTCACAGCGCCTTGCGCTTGCTCCAGCCGCCGTCCATATTCTGCAGGCGTCTCTCCTGCAGGGACTCCAAGTTGTAGTTCAGCTGCAGCTGCACCACCATTCGCGACTGGAAGAACTTGCGCATGATGAAGTCCATCATCTGCTGCCTGTTGAGGTAGAAGAGGTGGGAGGTCATCACCAGCTGCTCCTTGGTCGGAAGTCGGATCTCCTCCAAGAAGTCCAGGTCGTTGACCGTCAGGCTCTGGTGAAGCGTCCTCACCAACCGTAGGCAGAGGTCCACCAGCCTGTTCTGTTGACTGTCTCCTTGATGCCAATCTCGAAGGAAGCGATGAAAAGCTCGAACAAGGGGCACTTTGCACCAAAGCAGGCATCATCGCTGGGTAAGGGAAAGGATAAACCACCGCAGGCGTTGGTGTCTGCTCAAGAAGCTCAGGCTGAACTTCTGGAGGCTCCTCCGGCGGCTCTGTTGGCTCATAGCTCTCCTCACCAATTCCAAGTCCTTCTTGTTGGTCATCAGGGCGTTTGTCATCCACAGCGTTGATGACATCCTCAACTATTGCATCCCAATCTGTGGCAACGAGTCTTTCCAAAGCACTTGCATGACGAAGGTGTTCCATGGCAACCTTGGTCACATTGCCACAGTAGGCAACATACCCTGCATTGGGCATCTCTTTGCCTTCCAAAGACAAAAGAACTCCAGGACCGTGCCACTTCTTCAACTCCAGCCGTCTTCTCTGCACGATCTTCATCTTCTTGCTTGTGGGCTTCTGCTCGCGGTAGAAGTAGACCACGTCTCCAACAGAAAACTGGTTCCAATCCACCTGGTTGCGAGCACGTGCAACTGAAGCGCTCATCAAAGCTCGGCTGTAGTGAAGTCGTACCATGGCCAGCTTAGCCACTTCTCTCATCGCCACCAAGCGTGAGAACGAGGGGGTCTCCAAGGCCATGCTGTGAGCAGCAAGTCGGGTTCGAAGGTCAGAAGGACCAGCTTCTCCAACAAGTCGAGGTTGTCGTCCAAGAACCATCTGACTCGGAGAGAACCCTGTGCCATCCACGTCATTGTTGACGGCCTCCAGAGCTGAAGCCAGTGCGGTCCGCATGTCATCCATGCCAGCTGCCACCGCCTCGTGGATTGTGGCCCGGAGAACTGCCTTCAGTGAGCCTCCGGCTCTTTCTGCTATGCCGTTTTGCCACGGCGCGCCCACCGGCACATGGTGCAAAACCACGTCGTGCATGTCCATGGTGTGCTGGACCACTGCCGCCGTAAACTCTCTGCCAAGATCAGTGGTGATCTGTGAGGGGATGCCGAGGGTATTGAACCAGCACTCCTGGAAGAACTTGATGACTTCCAGCCCGCTCTTCTCTTCCAGCACCTTGGCAACTTGGTATCTGGAAGCGGCATCAACGGCGTGAGCAATCCAGTAAGTCTCACCATGGCTGTCATGGACGGAGATCAGGTCGGCATAGAGGTGGTCGTTGAAGTTCCTGACCCGAGGCAAGCTGGCTGGCCTTCTGGTTCCAGGCCGCTTGGTCTCATGACAGATCTCGCACTTATGCTCCTTTGCAGCTTTGATCAACATCGGATCTGCCCCTGTGATCAGCAAAGCTCGAGCCAGGCGAAGTGGGGGTCGATGGCCTGTCACCTCATGAAGATGCTTTGCCATCTTGCGATCACCTGCTGTGGGCTTGTCGTCACCAGACACCACCACATCATCCTCATCTTCCTGCTCGGCCGGGTTGTCCAGCATGAAGTGGTCCCCATTGCCATCATGGTCGTCTCCATCATGGCCATCCGGTTCATCTGAAGGTCCGGGGGGTCCTCCATCATCTTCACCACCATCATCTCCACCGCCTGTGTTCTCGTCGTCCAACTCCTCAATGACATTGATCTCAAGCATTGACCATTCTCGCTCGATGCCTTCAAGCAAAGT